CTATTCACAGAAACATTATTTATAATTGCCAAGATATGGAAGCATCCCAAGTGCACATCAATAGATGAATAGACAACGGAGATGCAGTGTGTGTGTATATATATATATACGGAATGGAATCCAGCTCACCCATAAGAAAGAAGGATATTTTGCCATTTGTGGCCCTTCATTCACTTTTTTTTCAGTTCAAAAACCAGAATTTTAAAACTGGCAGAGACATTTCCATTACATCAAAAACAACAAAATACCTAGAAATAAACCTAACCAAGGAGGTTACCTGTACTCTGAAAGCTGAAATGACACAAAGAAATGGAAAGATTTCTTGTGCTCTTGCATTGGAAGAATCAACACTATCCAAACGGCCACACCACCCAAAGCAACCCACAGATCCAACACAACCCCCATCAAAGTACTTGCAACATTCCTCACAGAACTAGAACAGACAATTCCAAAATTTATAAGGAAACACAAAAGACCCCAAACAGCCAAAGCGATATTTGTAGATCTTTCTCTCTTTTTTTTTCTCTTTCTTCTTTTCCCTTTTCTTATGCTTTGATGACTAGAGAAGGTCCTTGAACATTTGTTGTAAAGCTGGCTTGGTGGTGCTGGAATCTTTTAGCTTTTGTTTATCTGTGAAGCTTTTGATTTCTCCGTCAAGTCTGAACGAGAGCCTTGCTGGACAGAGTGTTCTTGGTTGGAAGTTTCCCCTTGAATCACTTTAAATATATCGTGGGCTCCCCTCTGGCTTGTAGAGTTTCTGCTGAGAAATCAACTGATAACCTTATGGGAGTTGCCTTGTATGTTATTTGTTGCTTTTCTCTCGCTAATTTTAATATTTTTTCCTTATCTTTAATTGTCAGTTTGATGACCATGTGCCTTGGTGTGTCCCTCTCTGCGCTTCCTGGACTTGGGTGACTGTGTCCTTTCCCAAGTTGGGGAAGTTTTCGGTGATTATCTCCCCCCAGATTTTCTCAGGTCTTTTCTCTCTTCTCTTCTCTTCCAGGGACCCCCATAATGCAAATATTAGAGTGCTTCATGTTGTCCCAGAGTTCTCTTAAACTATCCTCATTCCTTTTTATTCTTTCCCTTTTTCTGTTCTGCAGTAGTGATTTCCACTAATCTGTCTGCTGGCTCACTGATCTGTTCTTCTGCTTCATTTAGTTTCATTTTGGTTCCTTCTAGTGTGTTGTTCATTTCAGTGATTGTGTTCTTCACCTCTGTTTGGGTGTTCTTTATATTTTCCAACTCTTTGCTAAAAATTTCACTCTGTGCATCTATACTCCTCTTGAGTTCTCTGATCATCTTGGCCATCATTACTCTAAACTCTTTCTCAGATAAATTATCTATCTCCTCCTCGCTTATTTCTTCTTCTTCTGGGATTTTATCCTGTGCCTTGGCCTGGGAGATATTCCTTTGCCACCTCGTATTGTCTTTCTTTCTATGTGTGTGTGGATTCCTTCCACAGGCTTTGGGGTTGTTGTTTTCTTATTTCTGGTATCTGCCCCTGGTGGATGAGGCTGGACTAGAGGCTTATGCAGGGCTCCTGGCAAGAGAAGCTGGTGCCTGCCCACTGCTGGGTGAAGCTCGGTCCTGGACCTCTGGTGGGTGGGCTGTGTCTAGAGGCCTTTGTGGCTCAGGAGGTCTGCTGATGGGTGGGGCTGGGTCTTGGTGCTAATGATCCAATCGAGATGTCAGCCTCCA